GGGCACACACCTCCAGGCCCTTTCCCCAGGGTGCCCGGTTCAGGACCGTGACTGATGTAAGGCAAAGCTGCCCGGTGTCCGCAGGGAGGCCAGGCGTCGGGTCTGGGAGAGGCCCAGCTCTCCGCCGCGTCTCCTAGTAACTTTACAAGACACCGAAGGGAAAAGTACCAAAGGTCAGCTCCTCGCTTCTTGAGGTTTGAGATGAAACAAGAGGAAAACGAACACAAAAGCAGTAGCAAAAAAGCACTGGTAACTCTACGGACACAGAGCTCCTCTCCAGGGATGAGAGCCCACGGGGGTGTGGTAGGTGAAGCTCTGCGCCCAGCCAGCCGGGCTGAGCCCCCTCCACGGCGCTGCCGTCTGCACCGCGCTCTGTAGCTCCCATGCTCCTGTGGCTGCCGGGATAATTCCAGGTTTTCCTGGCCTCTGTTTCGGCGAAGCGTTTGGGGTGAACTTGTGCTCGTTCTTCTCCTCCTCCTCATTTTCTCGTAATTTCCAGGGGAAGGGAATGATCGTTTTCCCTCCAGTTTCTCTCAGGTTCTCTTTGCAGGCTTTTTCTGGCATGTGGGAAGAGGAGTCACTCGAGGAAGGGGGGAGGGAAGAAGGAAGGGGGGCAGAGATCAGAATGAAACAGAAGTTGGACGGGATTAACAGGGAGGCTTTTTGTTTTATTTCTGTTTTTTTTTTTTTCCTTTTCTTAAAAAAAATTAAATAAAGTTCTCATTATTTCCCCAATATACATCAAATGAGTTTTCATGCAAAGCAGCAGTCACAGAGGCAGAACTGTCCCCAGGTCGTGCCTCTCGGCTTGAAGAACCGCCTTCTCTGGGCCCCTGCTTCTCTCTGGTTCCACTGTGGAGGGACGGCGCCCATGGTCTCTCCCTGCGGGAACCGGCTGTGACGAGACGTGGCTGGCGTGGGGAGAGGGGCCCTCCCCTCTCCCCGTGATGGGGTCTCAGGGGACACCAAGCTCTGGGGTCTGATCCCCTTCACTTGTCCTTCTTCTGAGACTCGCAGGGTGACGGCTTGCATGGGTCCCTCTTCCCGGGAACGTGAGGCTCCGTCTCTCAGCTCTCAATGGACAGGGACATGGCATTTATGAGCTGTTCTACCTTGTACGCCAGCCGCTGTCGCCGGGCTTGCTCGTCCTGCTCTAGGGCCCCGAGGAGCTGAGGAACAAAAACAGAGGTGGGGGAGACTTCAGAACTCAGTTTAGAAGAAGCCATGTGCTGAGTCTTTCGTCCTTCTTTCTGCCTTTCCATCCCGCCCTAAGGAGCATGACCTGAAATCATGTAAATGATTAACTGAGTGTATATATGTATATGGATATATCTTTAAAATTTTTTTTTAATGTTTACTCATTTTTGAGAGAGAGACGGACAGAGCACAAGCGGGGGAGGGGCAGGGAGAGAGGGAGACGCAGAACCCGAAGCAGGCTCCAGGCTCTGAGCTGTCGGCACAGAGCCCGACACGGGGCTCGAACCCACGAACCGCGAGATCATGACCTGAGCTGAAGTCG